TGATGTGTGAACTTGGTGCTCTATTTCAAATTTCAGTGTTTTTGGTTTGATTATATTATTGAATTAAATGTATTATTATTATATTATTTTTTATAATTTATTAAATTATTATTTATGATTTCGTGTTTCAATTTTTAACATACCCGGGATGTTTACTAGACTCTTGTTCGGACAGATTTCAGTGAGTTATTCCTAAGAATTACAGGCCTACAATAATAAAAAACATATTTCCATGCAAAAAAATGTACCGCTTTGAGCACAGAAATACTGATATAATCATACCGCTAGGGAGGTTACCATTCCTAGTTGAAGGTGAGTGGCTGGTTTAAAGTCTAGCTCCAGGTTTACTTTAAAGCAGTATTAAACCCAAAAGCAAACATTTAATATATCGCAGATGACCAAGTCTTAGAGGTAATGGCTGCCTTAGTTTTCTTTTTAAGGCTTTCTTTTATTTTCACCTGATGATCCAGCCAGTAAGTCCATTATTTTTAACAGAAAAAGTTGCCCTGCAGATGTATCAGTTAGAGGACTGAGACAAACAGGTCAGCACTGACAGGGAAGCTTACAATGATCCGCTATTATTCATTTATGTAAAACCTTTATCTCTAAAGGAAAAAAATACTATTGCTGTAACTGCTTTTAGTGTTAACTGGAGTCTAACTTCAATTTTGTGTAGTCTCCCTAAATCTGCTAGTACATCTAACATTCCACTCCCCCAGGCAGAAAATTCTGCTGTCCAAAGATGTCTCTGTTGCTCCCCTGTCCAGAGTGGAGGCACTGTCATACAAGAGGTGTGTTACGAGCCATATGACCAGGTAAAAACAGAGAAAAAAGCCTAAAAAAGAAAGGTAATGCAGCCACTACATCTAATGACTGGTAAGCTGTAATATATTACATTTTTGTTTTTTAGGTTAATACTGCTTTAATGGCTCTGGAAACTATTTTTCATAAAATAGTTTTACTGTGTTTTAGAACATCCTCCATGAGTTCCCAAACCTATCCTTTACCCCCTTCACTTCTGTTTGTTTGGAATGAGCAGTGTGTGTTGCAGTTGGAGTGCCCTTTTCTATGCACAGTACAAATCCCATAGTCCCTTGGGAGAAAGCATGAGAAGGTGGCTACATTCCTGCATGCAGTGAAACCATGGAGAACAAATGTAACCACCCTCTAACAGGAAGCCAGATCACAGCAATTTGGAGGAGTACAAAGGTGTTGTTTTTTTTTTTTTTTTTTTTTTTTCAGTTAAAATAAACACTAAAGGCTCAAAAAAAATAAAAAGAGAAAAATAACGAACATGTCATACTTATCTGCTCCATGCAATGGATTTGCACAGAGCAGCTCCGATTCTCCTTTTCTCGGGTCACGTGCCAACGCTCCTGGCCCCTCCTCCCTGCTGAGTGCGCCCAGAGCAAGCTGCACTTTTTTTTCCCTGCTTTTCTCTGAGAAATATCTCAGTTCATTTCCTTATGTTATAGCTTGTGTAGTCTACCCTAACATATACATTGCTTTTTTTTTTTTTTTTACAATGGCAATCAGGACTCAAGTGGTTTATCAAGCTGAAGCCCTGTAGCAAAGTGCCCATTTACTTACCTGGCTTGGATTCAGGTCCCTTTGAATTCTTTTCACACCACTCCCTGGTTTCCTGGATACACCCAAGCAAGATAAAGTTACCTGCTTCACTCCTTAGCAGCTCAGAGAGGCTTCACCTAATGAGACCAGTAGCTGGGCAAGTGATCTTCAGCCAAAGAGAAGTCCTTAACGGTCAGAACTGGTGTGTGGGCAGCTGAACCAGAGCCTAATAGCACGTAGCTTCCCCACAAGACCCATTTACTGTGGGGAGCACTGCCACAGTTGCTTCCAGAGTACTATAGTTCCAGAGGAGTGGCCTGGTGTGCTAGGAAATAGCATTTGGTTATAATTGCTGCTCCCCGCCCCCCCAAGTATGTGGTTGGCATGGTTTTGAATCCACTTTCACATAGAGTAAGATTCATTCTTTCAACGACCCTGTTTTGTTCTGAGTTGTATGGTACAGTAGTTTAATAGTAGTGAATATTATTCAGGCTTGGGCTAAAGGGGAACTGACCTTTGATCCTCACCAGCCATGATGGAGTGCCATTTGTCTTCATCTAGACTTCTACTCTACTTTTTCTTACTATAATCCCATCTTTTCTTTCTAGTCATCTTTTCTCATTACCTTCTCCTTTTATAAGAAGATACTTCATAGATGGGTAAAACCCGGCGATGTTTCTCACAGCATACATTACACCTATCTTTGCTTAAACATGCTCCTTCACCTAAACACTTCTTAGACTTAGTACATTGGCTAGCATAATGTGACTTGGGGATGTCTTCTCATTATCGACATGTACTGACACTTGTTTCTTCACTTGGCATGTGTGGTTTTATGCAGAGTATTTGTTTTTTTTGTACCTCCAATTTCTGTTTTTTGTATTTGAAAAATCTTTAATTTAAAAATTGTACCATGCTTTCTGAGAATCTCTGTGTATTATCACCTATATATTCAGTTCCATTGTCTTTGTGCAAACTCGGCATTGAGTCAAATACTGTTCAAGTTTTCTCTGGTACTCCACTTTTGTTGTTTAACAGATACAGTGTAGTATACCTGGAGTAATCATCTTTAAAAGTGAGAAAATACCTCTTCTTTCCCAAAGTTAATTTTTCTATTGGACTGCAAAGATCTGAATGAACTAAGTAGAGAGGTTTTGGAAAGGCTTTTCTTGTCATTTTCCTTTTATACAGCTGATGCATTTCACTGATTACATGGACTAATTTTTATTCCACTTGCATAGTAATTCCCCGTTCATTTCTTTATTATGTCAGGACTTCCATTATTTGTCCATTTCGCTATTGTTAATTTTTTTTTTTGTTTTACTCTAATCAAGATGAATAAAACATTTGTCATTTGTCATGTGACTCGTACCTCCTGAGACAACACAATGTGCCTGCAGAGATGAGGTGCAGCTTTTGGTTTGAAAAACATTAATTATCGGAAGAAAAATCAGTTTCTTCTTTCACACTTTTGGCCTTTTGTGGTTTAGCTGGTTGTTGCATTCAAGCTTTCCAGATTCTGCAATCTGCTTTTAAATGGCCTTGTTTCTTGCACAGAAAGCATTCACGTGTTGCTTGTTGCATGTTACTGTCTTTATTCCTATTTTTTGTCTTTAAAACAGACTCTGCAATAGAAGCACCGTCACTATTAATGCGTTCTGTTTTACGCTTATATTCATCCTTAAGCTTACTTTTAACATATTCCAATGTCAGTTCATTATCTGGACATGCATCAAGTGGTAAACCACTAAGTAACAGTGCTGTCACATGACATTTTTTTTCATCTTCTTGTTGGAGGGCAGAAAAGGTGTGAAGGCTGTCCTCCTATTAACAGCATACACAAATGTATTCAATCCTTTTTTTGAAGGGATACATGTGTTGTATAGTAACATGGAGACACTTGAGAACAGCACTGAATGTTCTGTTAAACAGGACTTAGGTAACCATAACACGGCTAACACAAACCTTTGATGTTCTTTCACCTCCATTATTAAGAAACGGTGACTTAGGTGAATCACAAGTAAAAAGTGTTATGTTTGGGGTTGATATACTAAAAGCAAATACACTGTTCACTTTGCACGTGGGGTTTATTCTCTGAAAGGGAATTTTTCCCAGAGCTTAGTGATTGTGGTCAAACCCGATCATGTGCAAGAAAAAAAAAAAGCAAGCATTTTTGCTTACCTGTGATTAGATGATGGAAGTCAGCAGAGCTTCAAATTGTTCTCTAATCTCTGGGGAAAATTAATTTGCAGAGGGCAACTACAAATGAAAAGTAAACAGTCTATTTGCATTCAATAAATCATCCCCTAGTCCCAGAAAACAGAGAGAAGATGGAGATGGCATGTGCACTGTAAACATGGCATAAGTGGTTGAAGGTGGCAGTCTGGTAAGGTGCAGGTGCTTTATAAAATTTATCATGAATTCAAAAATAATTTTCTCTTTCCCAACCAAATATCTGCCCTGCACAGTTTACACATGGCTGTATTTTTTTATTCATGACCCCTGAACTGTATACACTATATGTTATACTCCAGACCCCTTAACTGCAATTACTATGTTGTACATTATATTTCTGACTCCTGCACTGTATAAGCTGGGTTGTACTTTATACCCTGACCCCTGCACTGTATAGTTTAAGTTGTATAGTATACTCCTGACCCCTGCACTGCACAGGCTATGTTGCATGTTCTATTCCTGACCCTTGCACTCTATATGCTATGTCATATTCTATAGTCCTGACCCCTGCATGCGCTTTGTTATACTGCTGACTCCTGAACTATAAGTATTATGTTATAGTCCTGGCCCCTGCACTGTGCAACCACTGCAGATGTCACAGTACTCAACAGAAAAGTCAGTGTCAGATGATGTTTTCTACATATTTTAGGTTAAATGTATTTGTAGCATAGTTGGTATTTATCACTGTATAATCTGCAAGAGCTGTTGGGTTGCTGTACCTTATGGACTGTATGGACTAAACATTGTAGCCAGCTATATATACAGTATATGTATAAATATTTCAATAATTTTACTAATGAACCATACTTTCTTGGCTGTATTTCTGTCATTATGATCAACCTTCCTCTATCTACAGTAATTAAAATTAAATTGTACAATAGGTCAGTAATATGCTCCTTGTAGAACCAAAGCCATTTTAAATGAATGTCACACTCTTAATAATAGTATTTCTCCAGTTACAAAATCTTGCCAGATACACAGCAAAAATAGGCTTGGAAATGTTTTTTAAATGTCGGCAACTATATAAATGTTTTAGCTGACTTATACTGACAATTCAATCAAACTTTAAGCAAGTCCTAAATCATATACAGCATACACTATATTGCCAAAAGTATTGGGACACCCCTCCAAATTATTGGATTCAAGGGTTCCAATCACTTCCATGGACATAGGTGTATAAAATCAAGCACCTAGGCATGCAGACTGCTTCTACAAACATTTGTGAAAGGATGGGTCGCTCTCAGGAGCTCAGTGAATTCAAGCGTGGTCCCGTGATAGGTTGCTACCTGTGTAATAAGTCCATCCGTGAAATTTCCTTGCTACTAAATAATCCACGGTCAACTATTAGTAGTAGTATAACAAAGTGTAAGCAACTGGGAACAACAGCAACTCAGCCACAAAGTGGTAGGTCACGTAGAATGACAGAGTGGGGTCCGTGCAATTGCAAGTGCGCAGAAGTCTCCAACTGTCTGCAAAGCCAATAGCTAAAGACCTCCAAACTTCGTGTGACCTTCAGATTAGTACAACAGTGCATAGAGAGCTTTATGGAATGGGTTTTCATGGCTGAGCAGCTTCATCCAAGGCTTACATCACCAAGTGCAATGCAAAGCGTTGGATGTAGTGGTGTAAAGCAGGCCACCACTGGACACTAGAGCAGTGGAGACGTGTTCTCTGGAGTGACGAATCACGCTTCTCTGGCGATCCGATGGACGTGTCTGGGTTTGGCGGTTGCCAGGAGAATGGTATTTTCCTGACTGCATTGTGCCAAGTGTAAAGTTTGATGAAGGGGGGATTATGGTGTGGGGTTGTTTTTCAGGGGTTGGGCTTGGCCCCTTAGTTCCAATGAAGGGATCTCTTAAGGTGTCAGCATATCAAGACATTTCGGACAATTCCATGCTCCCAAGTTTGTGGGAACAGTTTGGGGATGGCCCCTTCTGTTCCAACATGACTGCGCCAGTGCACAAAGCAAGGTCCATATTGGATGAATGAGTTTGGGGTGGAGGAACTTGACTGGCCTGCACAGAGTCCTGTCAATCTGACAGAACACTTTTGGGATAAATTAGAGCAGAGACTGCACCAGGTCTTCTTGTCCAACATCCGTTCCTGACCTCACAAATGCGCTTCTGGATGAATGGTCAGACATTTCCATAGACACACTCCTAAACCTTGTGGACAGCCTTCCCAGAAGAGTTGAAAGTGTTATAGCTGCAAAGGGTGGGCCAACTCAATATAGAATACCCTACGGACTAAAGACTGGGATGCTATTAAAGTTCATGTGCATGTAAATGCAAGCGTCCCAATACTTTTGGCAATATAATGTATATGAATCCTTTTTTTTTTTTTTTTTTTTACCCAGTAGACTGGAGAACATTTACACATAATTAGAGGATACTGAAAGTAAATGTGTACATGTAAAGATGTTCGTGACCTAGGATAACCTGCAGCAAAGGGTATACGGTTCAAACTGGTTTTAATATAGTAATACATACTTCCAAAGAATTGTGAAATGATGTTATAGAGGGCAAGAGAGATTGACACCACTGCTCTGCATAATACGGAGCTAGTTGTCGTCATTCAAAGGGACTATGATCTTTGACTGGATGTTTTTTCTTCAATCACCTTTTTTTTTTTTTTTTTTTCTTTTTTTTTTTTTTTTCAGAAGCTTATGGTTGACAAAAATGATCAACATCCAAAACTAATTACATTCACTCCTTTTATATGTCCCTGATTTTATGCTGTACAGATAACATTTTATGTATAAATCTGTAAAAACTTTCTCACACACCTAGACTTTTGAACTACTCATCCCATACTATTTTGTACATCTGATTGCAGCTGAAAGAATATCTTATCTTTTAAGTTTACAAGAATGTTGACCTAGAGGGATTTTTCTAATAAAGTTTAGTGTGCTAAAGGAAACCTGAGAGAAACATAGAAGCTGCTGAACTCTTCTGAAAATGTTGGTTGCCTCACTGCAGTGCTGACCCTCTTGATGCCTTGCACTGAACTCTAGAACAAGTATACAGTTCGGGAATTCTGGCTTCCCTCTGACTTTTATGATCCGCTAACTTTTGCCAAGTCAGCAACAAGGAATTTACTTTAAGGTGCTGTAACTATGGATGTATAACAATTCTTTCCCGAGTTGGCTGCACCCGGCAATGTTAAAGCACACAAAGAATACAGAAGTCGCCCCATGGGATTGTTGCTCCTGTAATTTTGTTTTCATTGTATTAGTCATTCACTGATAATCAGTTCGCTGCTTTCTGATTCTTTCTGCTTTTCTTTCAGGTACCAAGCTGTTTGAAGTCACTGGGCAGACCCTTATCCTTTATATATCTTGTCCCTAAGGCAGATGTCAGCAGTTACCTTAGGATCTTCCTCCACCGGATTGCTTTCCCAACCAGCTTCCATTTTCTTGTTTTTCTTTTGTTAAAGTTGATCTTTATGGAGTAACGTCACCCACTTGGTGGGTGCACATGGTCTATAAGAGTATGGTTACATTTTGTCAGCTGTTTGGTGTTTTGGCTATTGGTGTTATTGGTTGCACTTGTCATTTGGTTGTTTGCAGCAGAAAGCGCAAAAGATTCGCTCCAGGTGAGTGCCGAATCTGTATAACCCCTCCACAGACACGCAGGTGCTGGCCTGATCCATGATCACAGATGCAATGGAAAAACAGAGTGGTTGGCCACACAAACAGCGATGTGGTGGATGAAATCCTTTATTGGAAACCTTTACATGCAATATGATAAGAACAGGACAGCTCCTCTGCCCTATCTTGGAGCTGTCATGTGGGGGGCTTGCAAGGAGATTTAGTTGCTTGCCCAACTCATTGACAGGGGGGACTGCAGTGTCACTCCTGTCAGAAGGAGCATGGACTGATAGCTGCTGGGAGGATTCTGCTCTCCTTCCTCCATTAGCAGCCAGCTGTGAATGGAAGTGTAGCCCGATCCACGACACAGGCAGTGGAGGAGTGGCTGCAGGGACGGAGCTGTCAGCTTACATGGTCTATGTTATTCCTTCCCCTCATCCCCCTCTTCCTTGCTGAGCTGATAGAGAAACAGGAGGCTTCAATAAGAGGGATAGAATGCTGTAAGGCTGCTCATTTAAGTCCCACCCACCACCTGGGGAACATAAAGGAAGAGATTTTGGATTGCTGTTCCTCCTGGGAATGACAAAAAGCCTGCTGGGAGGAAGTGGAGAGGATGGAAGATGTATACTCCATACACAGTCTTGAGGGAAGGAGCAAGGGGAATGACATTTCCCAGGGTGCCTAGAGAGAGGAGGCAGAGCAAGAGAGGAAAGAGAACTGAGAACCTGTATGGGGAGAAAATCACACATGGAGATTCAGAGGCTGCAGGCACAAGCTGCGTAGTGTGCTGTAGCCCGAGGAGAAAAGCAGAAGAGGAGCTCTGGCCAGTTGCTACTGGAGAGAAGGTCGGTGAACCCAGGCATAGAGCTCCAGGTTGCAGACCTGCCTGTGTAGATTGAGCTTCTACAGGGAGGCCAGCTTCCTGACCTGTTACTGTTTTGCTGCTATAGGACCTAGAGAGGGAAAACAGCGAGTACTGAGATCCGTGTTGCCCCATCCTGCTGCCATTATAGTCTGACCACCAAGTGTGTGTAGAAAGGCTGCTGTGAGTATAGCTACGATGCTGTGATCACCAGGGGCTGTGTTTCTACATTGTGCCTGCCAGAGACTGCACCACTAAGTGCTGATTCACACATGTGCGCTGCAGATTGAAGCTCAGGTTTCACAGCTAATTGATACAGTAGTTGTTCAGGACAGGTTTAGATCAGGTTCAGGTCAGGATTTTATTCTGTTTACAACTGATGACATTTGCAGTTTAGAAACTGTTCCCATAGAAGTCAGTAGTCTGTAATCCACACCTGAACCGGACCTGCTCAGTAATCGGACAGGACCCTTTTTCAATCTGCAGTGTGTCCTTTTGCTAGGCTTCAAGAAGATGCACCAGGATCATTGGTAGTGGTGAAAGGCCCTTTTGCTACTTGTTTAATATTGACCCTGCTGATGTTTTTGTAGTTTAAAATTGCTGCCTGTGGAGAGTCAGTTCTGCACCCTTTACTTTTTCCTTTTTCGGATTATACATACTTTCATGCAGGGCTGTAGATATTTTTTTTTTTCTTCTTTAAGGAAGGGAGGAGTAGGTGGAAGGAAGGAAGGGGTGGATGGAAGGAAGGAAGGCAGGAAGGGTGGGTGGAAGGAAGGAGTTAATGGAAGGGAGGGCTGTGTGGAAGGAATGAAGGGGGGGTGGGTGGAAGGTAGGAAGGCAAGGAAGGAATGGTGGCAGGAAGGAAGGTTAGGTTGGGCTCACCATGACTCACTCAGATGCATCGATTCAGAGCTGTCGGCTGCTGTGTTCAGTTTCCTGTCCGCACCTCCTCTGAAGCTGCATGGACTGGAGTGTGAGCGGGCACAGGGGGAGGCAGAGCAGATCCAGCCTCGCTCCCCTCTTTTCCTATTGGTGCAGAGGATGCATGGCTTTCAATGAAGCAGCTGGAAGCTGCTCCTCCTCTCCCTCCTGTGGCTTCCAGCTGCTTAGTTGAAAGCCATACAGGAGATTGCTGCTTGCCACTGCCCCCAACTCTACTCCTCTTACAGACCCCTAGTCCCGGCACTGCTTGCCGCCCCCTCCTTATTTCCACTCGTGGGTGAGTGGAAATTTCGAGGGCTGCAGGAATAGTTGGCAACTGTCTTCTGGGGGGGGGGGGGGAATAAGATCCCCCTGACCCCCCCCCCCTTATCTATGCCCCTGCTTTCATGTGTGAGAGTGAGCGCTCTATTGCGAGATTCCGCACCAGGTAGATATATTTAGACCCACTGACCAGTGCTTTAGTGTTTTCTCTAACGCTTAGTCAGGTCAGTTGGATAGGCTTTATAATGCCATCCCACACCATTATTATTATTATTACTATACAGGATTTATATAGCGCCAACAGTTTGCTTAGCACTTTACAATTTATCCATGCAATGCATGTGGTTGCGGGCAGTTGCAGTGCTTCCTCATGAACTTGAATGGGCGGCTTTTGAGAAGTGGTACTGCCCACCAAACATGTTGTGGCCACAGTTTGTGCCTTTGCCACTGTTAACCCCATATTCGTGCACCAGTTTTGAAGTTTACTAAGGTATACCACAGTCATTGGTGTGCAGTTTGTCATCTTCACCCTGGGCACTGGATGATCTTGTCTCTGCAGTGATTTAAAGGTTTTATTTTTTAAAATAAAGATTTTACTATTTCCAAACCCAATAATGAAGCAGTAGCCTATTTGTTAACAATCCCTGGTTTGTGTGTATTGATCTTTTCAGAACTTCAAAGCTGTCCAGCATAATGTGCACACTTTCAAAGATAGAAACAGGCAGCACACCATAACATCCAAGGTTTATAAAACTTTATTAGGATAACTTTCAAAGAAGTGCCACCGGGGACCTCCTTTCCTGTGTTATCAGGTACTGGTTGCTCAGGACTCCAGGTGGGACAGGAGACCCCAAGAACAGTGAGAGGCATCCCCTCTAGCTGCTTTTACAAGCAATTAAGTGGCTAGTAGCTGTAGGTATCACTCTGTTACAACCACGGAAAGTCCAGCAACATACGGGTACAGCATTGGTACAGTGTGTTACATTTATTTCATTTTATAAGCACAAGGGACAATACTTACATTGAATGACAAGTGTCCATTGTGCTAATGTCTGTTCTCTTATTTTAAATCATTAATTCTCTGATTACCCCCATCCCCCTGCAATAGTAATCTTCTGGTTCTGCAGGGGTTAATATGAGCCGGTGGACCTGCAATAGGCAGTTGGCAAGATTGGCAACTATACCTGCCCTCCAGCCCTTTCCTCCACTGCAAAATGCTGTAGTATAGCTTCTATCAAGGAAATGCAATCTATGAGGAGAGAGTCCTTTCATCTGCCCATCCTCCATTCATAGACTGCTTTTCAT